TGTGCCTTGAGCTTTCTCAACCCTTTTTCCCGGTTGAAAATTTGAAAAAACTCGGAAGGTGTCGAAAACAGCCAGTTTGGCAACTTTTCTTAGATTCCTCTTTTTTTAAATATGTCACGAGATGGAATCTTCTAACTTAGTTTTTCTGATAGATTATAGAAAACTGAATAGGAAACTGGTTCTAAACCATTCTTAGAACAAACCATCGGCTCACAAAATAATTATCCAAGACCCATGTTCAAAAACCGTTACTTAATTTTTTCAAGTGTATCACAGGTTTTGATACATCATACATTTGATACATCATACATCTCTATCGAATGATGTATGATAATCAAAAAAAAAAAATTTCACTGCAACTTTGATTTCCGTGTATCTTACAAGAAGTTCACATTATTCAATCCTTAAATACTGTCACTATTGCCAACCATCTTTCGGTTCGTTAACATATCTATATAAGCAGAAAGTTTAAAAGTCTAATGAAATATTTCTGGTAAACAATCTTCTTTCTCATTCAATTTCGCTACTTTTAACGACATTTTATGTAACATAGTGGACAGTTTTGGCTTGTAATGTGGATATCAGAATTGTTTGACAATCTTTTTATGTGCCATTATCATTATAAGCATCCCAAAATCCCATAGACGAAAAATAAACGTTTTTATAAACCACCGTATGAGAGGAGAGCAAAAAAAATTCTATTACCATATCTCTCATTAAAACTTATTGTTTTTATGCACGATTGGGCGGTTTATACAGTTTGACGAGTTGGTTCCGAGTATGATGTCATTTGTTTTGATTAGGAGCACGTTTTTAGCTGACGAAAATGGATGTTACGTCAAAAAACATGGGTTTTTGAAAAACTTCTTCCAAGAGCCTGAAAGCATTTGCGTATTTCTGCGCTAAGATTGTAGATGTCCTATGGATAGATAGAAGAAAATCTATGCAAAGGTTCATCGAGAAAAAACCTACTACACTGGAGAGTCTCCAGTGTAGTAGATTAACGCCAAAACCAAGTCTCCACTGGAGACTTGGTTTCGAACATTTTTTTGACATGAAAAACAGCGTTTTTCTCTTGTATTCAAACGATATGAATTTTTGTTTAAAATGCTCATAAATGACTCGCGATTCATGCAGAAATCGAACGAATCGTTAACTTGGTCAAAACATTTTTATGTCACTTTCGATATGGTGATTTTGGATCTCTCTTTGTGCTACATAAGTTTTCCCAAGACTATAAGGCCCAGTCAGGAAATTTTTTTAAGAAAATCGACGATAGTGTAGAGATTATCACTCACTATTCGAAATAAAATAAATGCACACTTTCATTTTTTGACTATGTATCTACATTATTGTCCACTGTCACAGAGTGGCCATAAAAAATTTTTCAATCTGCTAGTAATAGTTTGACCATCCACATATTTTTTAATTTGAGAGAACAATACATAGTTCATAATAATCCAACATAACAGAAAGAAAAAAAGATACAAACAAACAAACAAGACACATTACAAAAAAGAAATTTCAATAATGACAATTACATGATAAATGAATGACTGTTTGTTTGTACATAAAATAAGAAAGAAAACGTCCTTTTAGGAAAATAATCGAAAAAGAAAAAACACGCATCCTGTTGCAGAGAAGAAATGAGCGGAAATAAATCTTAGAATCATAAATAGAATTAAAATTAAAAAACTTTCGTCCTACTTATCAGGTCTGAATGAAATTTTTAGTTGTTGTTTTTTATATTATATTTTATTAAACAAAGAAACAAGCTAAAAAGACACGACTTTTATCTTGTTTATTACATACAATTTAAACAGTTCGATGGAGTCGATCTATTTGGGTCTGGTAATGATTGTGGTTGATTATTTGTATTACCTGGCGTTTTTTTCAATATCAAGCGTGCCATTTCATAAAATGATTTTTCAATATTAACGTTATTTTTTGCACTTGTCTCTAAAAATAGTATCGAATGTTCTTTTGCTAATAATTCACCACGCTGTTTTGTAATACAACGTTTGTCTTCCATATCGCATTTGTTTCCTATTAACATTTTGACAACATCATCCGATGCATGATCATCGATATTACGCAACCATTTATTAATATTTTCAAATGAACGTGCTTGTGTTACATCATAGACTAACATAATACCCATTGCACCACGGTAATAACTTGTTGTGATTGTATGAAACTAAAAAAATTGTATAAACAGTGGTGATGAAAAATGTGTATAATTGAAAATCAATGCAAAAACTTACTCTTTCCTGACCAGCAGTATCCCATATTTGTAATTTTATTTTTCTTCCTTCAAGTTCAATTGTTTTTATTTTGAAATCAATTCCAATCGTTGAAATAAATGATGCATTAAACGAATCATCCGAAAAACGAAATAATACACAGGTTTTACCAACACCACTATCCCCTAAACATAAGAAAAGTCACAATTAGTTGGATGAAAATTATCAACTCGTGCTTATAAATGTCCAAAATCGCAACTAACGCAGTCAGTACTTAGCTATCCATTTGTTTTCGTGATTTTATCATTCTGATTTTTAAAGATTACTTACCGATCAAAAGCAATTTAAATAATAAATCATAAGTCGTTTTTGCCATTCTAATACTGGACTGTTAGTCGTCTGAAAGTAAACAATAATTAATCGAAAATAAGGTACATTCAATCATTATGTAAACTTCTCAGGTTATTCCCCATCAAATGGCAAACGTATGATGGCCTTGACACTTTTACTCGTATTATAATAAAGTAAACACTAATCAACGGCTAACATCAAAATTTCATCTTGAAGAGGCACTTACGATGTCTATCTATGAGTTTTCATTCGTGTAAAGATAAAAAAACTCTTTTATCAATCACGTTAAGTTCGAAAGAACAAAATAGAATACATATCAAACACTCACACTTACTCCCCAATATCTTCCATGAAAGTTGAAGGTATGGAAATTTCAGATAGGTGGAATTTTTATAAAAAAAAATTACGTTACAAAAAAGATGTTTCAGCAATACCTTAAGGAAAACCAACATAGATTTATAAACTCGCAGTTTGTCTTCTACATTGCCATCGACAAAATGATCACATTTAGTCGAAGGCTTTGAAACGAAACGTCGATCTAGCTTTCAATATCTAATGGAAAAGTTATATGATATTGTGGAGTAATCGTAATTATTTGGCAATTCTAAAGCACTATATATAGTCAAATGATCTCCAACCCAAAACATCCTCCACTGTTAAGTTAAAAGTATATTTGACTTTTTTTAGACTAGTAGAAGATAGTCCACACATTACTACAAAAGAAACCATTCTTTTTTATCGTATAATGTACACTCAACGCCATCAAAAATATCGTATTACTCATTATCATCAGCACCTGTTAGAAGCATCATTTCAACGAAAACTAATAGATGCGTCGGCTACATTTATCCCGCGTCGGTACTACTACAACAGAAGAATGTTAAAAACTTTTATTACACGGTGATTTTATATATACAGCAAAAAATAGTTATAAAACTATATGTAATAGTGGTGCCATCGTTGACACATAATTTCAACAGATTACACAATTTCATGATATATTGCAAACAAGCATAAAGGTAAGTCATTTTTTCTAAATAATTCTAAACTTCTTTAAAAATCCATATAAATAATCCGATCAACTGTTACTCTTTAACTAATTTTAAACTAATAAATAATAGAACGTAACGTTTAAACCATTAAAGAAGCGCTAAGAACTTTGCCACTAGTTTTAATAATATATCAGCTTTTAATTATGTTATTATATCTTGTTTTCAACTACAAGATATATATATATTAATTAAATTCATATATATTAATAGCACACCTAAAATAATCTGTATAATTCTGATTAGTTGGATGTTTTCGTTTTATATTCTAATTGAACGAGTATAACTAGTAACGTGGTGTTCATTTTTTATATGATCTAACTATTGTAAAAATTCTTTACGTCTCAATTCAAGATACTGTTAATGACTGTAAATTATTCTTAAATACAGGTTTAATCAACGAGGACAAAGCAATAGCATTTCAATACACATACATACAAAAATGCATATTTAATCTAGTTTAAAAATTATGATTCAATGGAATGTATTAATATCTTTTTGTACTAATGCAACTGAAGACGATGTAAAAATTTAAGAAAACTAAAGTAGAAATATACTACTATTCAGTAGTCTTTCTACTAACTATTCTTTCAAATCTAGTACTACTATAAGTATTCTTCTCTATTATTAATGCTCAATAGAACAAGAATGTCATCAGGTGTCAAGGAAAAGAACAAAAACTAAGAAAGACAGAAAAAGATCTGGTAAAAAAAAAACAGAAATTCTGTACATAAATTTGCACTTAAACATAGTTCAGTAGATGCGGAAGGAAAGAGTTAGAATGAAGGAATAAAAATAGATGAAAAAAAAAATTCAAGACAAACAACATAATTCATAAGAATATATACGTGAATAAAAGCTGAGATTAGTTTCTTCGCTTCTTAAATATGAACTACATTTGAATTCAAATTAGAGTAAATCCGAGATGGAATAGAAGATTATGTGATGATATATAAGAAAAATTGGAGTATACAATGTTAAAAAATTCAGAGAATGATAAAAATAAGTTAAATATTCATTTAAAAGGTTTTACGTACCAACTTCTTCGCAAGTTTAATGCAATAATAACTTTTTTTATCCAGTGAGTAAATCTCAACGTTTAGCACTCTCAACTACATTCAATTCGACCCTGTAGGATATTTCATAGACAAGAGTAAATAAGAATAAATGACAAACGCACTGAAAACACTGTATTATTATAAAAAAAGGCAATGGAGTATGACATCACAAAACATTTATTGTTATGTCATCGATTGAATAATACTAAGTGATGGAATGAAACTTTTTTGTATTATAAGAATCTAAATAATAAATCTTAAAAATTGATCAAACTACGTATGGCAAACAATGGACTGAGACTATTAGAACTAAATCTGTAATTAGTGAACTACAGAGAATCAATCTTTTATTTAATTTTTAAAAATGTCTAATGAGACTATTAACACATTGCCTAGAGCTAAGCATTAAACATGTTGACGAAGATAAAATCATCTCCTTCACTCGTTACTTTAAGTAATGTTTTAAGTCGTTAACAGCCGTGTTTTATTAGAACACACTGTATCATGACATTTATAAGCGCACCCATATACCAATATATATATATATATATATATATACTTCACAGTGTAGAATGAAGTCTTTCCGAATAGATAAAACCATTTTCAGTTCTGCAAACAAATTATATATAATCTCAATAAAAAATAACATATTACTTTTGTTTTGTTTTTCTTTTTTTTCATATACGTGATAAAACAAAATATATTATCTAAGCAAGGTTAAGAGAATCAGTGTATGTGTCTCAGTTGTTTTGAATATTAATTTGTTTAAAAAACAAAAAGTCGAAACGAGCTACAAACACAAATATTTAAATCATCCTAATATAGAGAGAAACTATCAAGAGTACAACAAGGAACTTCATTTATGGTAAACAAAAACATTTTCGTCAGAGATATAAATTAGCAAAAAAAAAAAACAGAGCAAATAAACATTAATTCTTATCCATTTCTTTTTTTAATATGGTAACGTTATGTCAATTGTCTCACAGTGTGTGAGTTCGGATTCGGACACTAAAGTTTTCGATCAGATCATATATTCTAAATATCTAGAAAAATTGCGCGAGGATCTTCAACATTTTGTTTTATTTTACGAAGAAATAGGACAGCATCACGTCCGTCTAATAAACGATGATCATAGGTTAATGCAACGTACATCATTGGTCGAATTTCAATCTTAAAACGAGAAAATAACATCAGAATAATAAGTAAAAATAGAAAAACATGCTGTTGAACCAAAAGTTCTCTACTTTTACTTACCTTTCCATTGATGGCAACTGGTCGATCAAATATTCCATGCATTCCTAATATGGCTGATTGTGGTGGATTGATGATAGGCGTACCAAACAGTGAACCAAATACACCACCATTACTAAAAATACGAAAGAAAGCATCGTCAACTACACATTTTCAGAAATGAGATAAGTACTGACCTGATAGTAAATGTTCCACCATCCATATCTTCAATTGATAATGAACCTTTCTTCGCCTTACAAATAACAAATTTTTACATCTTCTAGTTACATAATCAAATTAGATAGCATACTTTTTCACCAAAGTCGTTTATAGATCGTTCAATATCAGCATAACTCATTTTTTCAACGTTCCGTAATACGGGCACAACTAATCCCTAAAAAAAACAGAACATTAGATTATATTATATTATCAAGAATTTGAGATATTGTAGTATAAAAGACTTTGGATAACTGTCGACTAGGGTGATCAATTGAATTACAGCTTGAATGGAGAAAAAGAAGAGAATAAGCGGAAGTCTGTGATGAGTCCATCAAACACAGTGGATATAGATAGTATCTGTTATAAGCAATATAACGATTAAATATTAGTTGGTTTAACACAAATGTCAACATAAACGATTGTATCGTACTTTTGGTGTTGCAACAGCCACACTAATATCAACATAATCACGATACACAATTTCATTACCATCCACCACTAAGAAAAAGTTTTTAAAAAATAATAACAGTCTACAGTTTGCAATTGTACTTTACCTGCATTAGCCACAGGTTGATCTTGTAAGGCGCAAGCAGATGCTTTAACAAAAGCAGACATAAAACCTAATTTAAGATTGTGACGTTTAATGAAATTGTCTGCAAATTTTTTTCGTAAATCTACTACATTGCTATAAAATAAAAAGAACATGAAATGCATAAAAAAATGAATACAAAGTTGATTATTCACCTCATATCAATTTCGTTGAATGTTGTCAACATAGCACACGTATTTTGTGCTTCTTTAAGTCGTTCAGCTATTTTCAAGCGCATACGAGACATTTTCACACGTGTTTCAGTTCTCGTTCCGGTAATTTTATTTGGATCTGCGCCACTACTTGACTGAGATTGTTGTTGTGATGGTTTTAATGGTGTGACAGGTATTTGTGATGTTGGTGTCTCGCGTATAGGTGTTTTGGGTACTGGAGGTATACTTGGCATCTTGCCTGATCCTGCATCATCATCAGCTTGTTTTTTTGAAGACTGTTGTGGTTTAGATGGCTCATCTTCTTGATGTTCCGTCTTTCTTATCGATGGTGGCTTTTCGTCTTTCTTTGATTCTTTTGGTGTTGCTTGGTCAGCTAGGATCCAAAGTAATATTAACAAGTCTCTAAAATTTGAGTAAAAATTGTCCGATACATACCTGATGAAGATGGTTTTGCTTCTCCTTTATCTCCTCCCCCTTCCGAAATTTTAAACAACTCAGCACCTGCGGTCACGTTTGATCCATCTTCGACGAGAACAGCTTCAATTGTTCCGCTTTGAGGAGCATTCACCTGTAAATTTGTTTTGTCTGTTTCAATTTCAGCGATTGTTTCATCTACTTGAACTTTATCACCAACTTTCTTTAATAACCTAATCGTACCGTCTTTGACGCTTTCTGGGAATGCTGGTGTCGTAACACTTACTGAATTATCTAAAAAATAAATATGTTTATGCTTGGCATATTGAGCTAAAAGAAAAAATTTATTTATTCCCTACATAGAACTCGACTTGTGTAAAAAGATCGTGTAAATATATTATGAACGTTTGATGACGATAATAATGTTGGCTTATAGGAAAGATCAGTTACTGTTCCACGATTAGTTTCAGAAGCCAACGTTTGTTCGGATACTGCCTAAAAATAAATGAAAATCACCTTAATCAACTATTTGAATATATATCTATTTAAATATATAGGCAGAAACGATATAATTAAATAATTTTCTTACTTTTTTGACTGATGTTGACAATAATCGTGTCGATGTTGAACTTGTTGATAGTACATTTGATATTGAATTATTATTATGATGATGATGGGGATAAGATGTACACTTTGTACCCGACCGTAGTGCACGTAAAGAAGCACTACGAATTGATACTATATGAGACATATTTCTCTATCTAGAAATCAAAGAAGAGAAATATGAAGTATCTTTCCTTCCTCAATTTTGTTCATTAGTTTTGTTTTCATTAACGATTTCAGATCGTAATATTTATTAACATTTCGCTACGTTGATCAAGTTCACCTGTAGTTTAATTATATTCACACCATAGATAAAAAAAAATCGTCCAATTAATGGACAGAACCTAAACAGTAACTTGTGAAAAATGTTTCAAATAAATTATCTCAGTAAAATAAATTAACATTAAATATAAGTGAACTCAATGAAAAACGGCTTCACAGAAAAATACAACTCGCACTATTATACCGTAAAACTTTCTCAATACAGAATTATATAACAAAAATATTTATTTATATTCGACTGAAAATAACAATAAGTTTCCTGAGAAAATGCAATCTTGTATGAAAAATATTGCTCATTTAAAAATATTAGTTAAAAAAATAAAATTGCACATTTGAAAATAAAATAAAATAAAATAAAATCAATTTTTATTCTTTCAATTATATAAACAATAAAATACTAAAAATATACTTATTTAAAATGTGGAGAAAAGAGTAGGATGAGAGAGAGACAATTCAAAAGAAAAACATTTTTGAAAAGTAATCAGCACCCCGTTATGATATATAAGAAAAATTGGAGTATACAATGTTAAAAAATTCAGAGAATGATAAAAATAAGTTAAATATTCATTTAAAAGGTTTTACGTACCAACTTCTTCGCAAGTTTAATGCAATAATAACTTTTTTTATCCAGTGAGTAAATCTCAACGTTTAGCACTCTCAACTACATTCAATTCGACCCTGTAGGATATTTCATAGACAAGAGTAAATAAGAATAAATGACAAACGCACTGAAAACACTGTATTATTATAAAAAAAGGCAATGGAGTATGACATCACAAAACATTTATTGTTATGTCATCGATTGAATAATACTAAGTGATGGAATGAAACTTTTTTGTATTATAAGAATCTAAATAATAAATCTTAAAAATTGATCAAACTACGTATGGCAAACAATGGACTGAGACTATTAGAACTAAATCTGTAATTAGTGAACTACAGAGAATCAATCTTTTATTTAATTTTTAAAAATGTCTAATGAGACTATTAACACATTGCCTAGAGCTAAGCATTAAACATGTTGACGAAGATAAAATCATCTCCTTCACTCGTTACTTTAAGTAATGTTTTAAGTCGTTAACAGCCGTGTTTTATTAGAACACACTGTATCATGACATTTATAAGCGCACCCATATACCAATATATATATATATATATATATATACTTCACAGTGTAGAATGAAGTCTTTCCGAATAGATAAAACCATTTTCAGTTCTGCAAACAAATTATATATAATCTCAATAAAAAATAACATATTACTTTTGTTTTGTTTTTCTTTTTTTTCATATACGTGATAAAACAAAATATATTATCTAAGCAAGGTTAAGAGAATCAGTGTATGTGTCTCAGTTGTTTTGAATATTAATTTGTTTAAAAAACAAAAAGTCGAAACGAGCTACAAACACAAATATTTAAATCATCCTAATATAGAGAGAAACTATCAAGAGTACAACAAGGAACTTCATTTATGGTAAACAAAAACATTTTCGTCAGAGATATAAATTAGCAAAAAAAAAAAACAGAGCAAATAAACATTAATTCTTATCCATTTCTTTTTTTAATATGGTAACGTTATGTCAATTGTCTCACAGTGTGTGAGTTCGGATTCGGACACTAAAGTTTTCGATCAGATCATATATTCTAAATATCTAGAAAAATTGCGCGAGGATCTTCAACATTTTGTTTTATTTTACGAAGAAATAGGACAGCATCACGTCCGTCTAATAAACGATGATCATAGGTTAATGCAACGTACATCATTGGTCGAATTTCAATCTTAAAACGAGAAAATAACATCAGAATAATAAGTAAAAATAGAAAAACATGCTGTTGAACCAAAAGTTCTCTACTTTTACTTACCTTTCCATTGATGGCAACTGGTCGATCAAATATTCCATGCATTCCTAATATGGCTGATTGTGGTGGATTGATGATAGGCGTACCAAACAGTGAACCAAATACACCACCATTACTAAAAATACGAAAGAAAGCATCGTCAACTACACATTTTCAGAAATGAGATAAGTACTGACCTGATAGTAAATGTTCCACCATCCATATCTTCAATTGATAATGAACCTTTCTTCGCCTTACAAATAACAAATTTTTACATCTTCTAGTTACATAATCAAATTAGATAGCATACTTTTTCACCAAAGTCGTTTATAGATCGTTCAATATCAGCATAACTCATTTTTTCAACGTTCCGTAATACGGGCACAACTAATCCCTAAAAAAAACAGAACATTAGATTATATTATATTATCAAGAATTTGAGATATTGTAGTATAAAAGACTTTGGATAACTGTCGACTAGGGTGATCAATTGAATTACAGCTTGAATGGAGAAAAAGAAGAGAATAAGCGGAAGTCTGTGATGAGTCCATCAAACACAGTGGATATAGATAGTATCTGTTATAAGCAATATAACGATTAAATATTAGTTGGTTTAACACAAATGTCAACATAAACGATTGTATCGTACTTTTGGTGTTGCAACAGCCACACTAATATCAACATAATCACGATACACAATTTCATTACCATCCACCACTAAGAAAAAGTTTTTAAAAAATAATAACAGTCTACAGTTTGCAATTGTACTTTACCTGCATTAGCCACAGGTTGATCTTGTAAGGCGCAAGCAGATGCTTTAACAAAAGCAGACATAAAACCTAATTTAAGATTGTGACGTTTAATGAAATTGTCTGCAAATTTTTTTCGTAAATCTACTACATTGCTATAAAATAAAAAGAACATGAAATGCATAAAAAAATGAATACAAAGTTGATTATTCACCTCATATCAATTTCGTTGAATGTTGTCAACATAGCACACGTATTTTGTGCTTCTTTAAGTCGTTCAGCTATTTTCAAGCGCATACGAGACATTTTCACACGTGTTTCAGTTCTCGTTCCGGTAATTTTATTTGGATCTGCGCCACTACTTGACTGAGATTGTTGTTGTGATGGTTTTAATGGTGTGACAGGTATTTGTGATGTTGGTGTCTCGCGTATAGGTGTTTTGGGTACTGGAGGTATACTTGGCATCTTGCCTGATCCTGCATCATCATCAGCTTGTTTTTTTGAAGACTGTTGTGGTTTAGATGGCTCATCTTCTTGATGTTCCGTCTTTCTTATCGATGGTGGCTTTTCGTCTTTCTTTGATTCTTTTGGTGTTGCTTGGTCAGCTAGGATCCAAAGTAATATTAACAAGTCTCTAAAATTTGAGTAAAAATTGTCCGATACATACCTGATGAAGATGGTTTTGCTTCTCCTTTATCTCCTCCCCCTTCCGAAATTTTAAACAACTCAGCACCTGCGGTCACGTTTGATCCATCTTCGACGAGAACAGCTTCAATTGTTCCGCTTTGAGGAGCATTCACCTGTAAATTTGTTTTGTCTGTTTCAATTTCAGCGATTGTTTCATCTACTTGAACTTTATCACCAACTTTCTTTAATAACCTAATCGTACCGTCTTTGACGCTTTCTGGGAATGCTGGTGTCGTAACACTTACTGAATTATCTAAAAAATAAATATGTTTATGCTTGGCATATTGAGCTAAAAGAAAAAATTTATTTATTCCCTACATAGAACTCGACTTGTGTAAAAAGATCGTGTAAATATATTATGAACGTTTGATGACGATAATAATGTTGGCTTATAGGAAAGATCAGTTACTGTTCCACGATTAGTTTCAGAAGCCAACGTTTGTTCGGATACTGCCTAAAAATAAATGAAAATCACCTTAATCAACTATTTGAATATATATCTATTTAAATATATAGGCAGAAACGATATAATTAAATAATTTTCTTACTTTTTTGACTGATGTTGACAATAATCGTGTCGATGTTGAACTTGTTGATAGTACATTTGATATTGAATTATTATTATGATGATGATGGGGATAAGATGTACACTTTGTACCCGACCGTAGTGCACGTAAAGAAGCACTACGAATTGATACTATATGAGACATATTTCTCTATCTAGAAATCAAAGAAGAGAAATATGAAGTATCTTTCCTTCCTCAATTTTGTTCATTAGTTTTGTTTTCATTAACGATTTCAGATCGTAATATTTATTAACATTTCGCTACGTTGATCAAGTTCACCTGTAGTTTAATTATATTCACACCATAGATAAAAAAAAATCGTCCAATTAATGGACAGAACCTAAACAGTAACTTGTGAAAAATGTTTCAAATAAATTATCTCAGTAAAATAAATTAACATTAAATATAAGTGAACTCAATGAAAAACGGCTTCACAGAAAAATACAACTCGCACTATTATACCGTAAAACTTTCTCAATACAGAATTATATAACAAAAATATTTATTTATATTCGACTGAAAATAACAATAAGTTTCCTGAGAAAATGCAATCTTGTATGAAAAATATTGCTCATTTAAAAATATTAGTTAAAAAAATAAAATTGCACATTTGAAAATAAAATAAAATAAAATAAAATCAATTTTTATTCTTTCAATTATATAAACAATAAAATACTAAAAATATACTTATTTAAAATGTGGAGAAAAGAGTAGGATGAGAGAGAGACAATTCAAAAGAAAAACATTTTTGAAAAGTAATCAGCACCCCGTTATGATATATAAAAATAAACAAAAAGTTATCACATTAAAACAGAATTAAATGCCAATCTAATTACTCAAATCAGTTATTTGAACGTTTTACTCTAACAAGGAAGGTTTTCTTTTTCTTTTTGTTCATTGTCTTTAATTAATAATTTTTCATTTGACCATTCATCATTTATACACCATGCTTGATCACCGCCAATATAAGTTGCTAATACGTTCAAATCATGATCCAGTAAAATAAAATCCGCGTCTGCACCATAATTTAGTGTACCTTTTTGTTTATCAATTTTTAACACTTGTGCTGGATGTAAAGTAGCACTATTAATTGCTTCGACAACAAACCGATGTTTTTCATTTTGTGGGTGATGTTTAATATAAATACTATTATTTGTTTCGCCATCTAACAGTGCTTGACGAAAATATTTAACACAGTCAGACATTGAAGCGATACTACCAGCTAATGTTTCTTCTCCACAAATTGTTGCACGTTTACCTTTGACAGTAATTTTATTTTCACCTAAATTATATTCACCATCAGAAAAACCTAGTGCTATCACTGCATCTGTGACTAAAACTAAACCATTTGGATGAACGCAATGTGCGAGACGAACTGCTGCCGAATGCGTATGAATACCGTCGACAATGAGGCCATAATAAACTGGTGTCGAAGATGACAACTGATGGCTTGTTAATAGACCAATGAGACCAGGATCACGATGATGAAATGAGGACATAGCATTGAATAAATGTGTGATAAATCTTGCACCAGCACAGACAGCCTTTTCACCGTCGGTTAGATTCGATAATGAATGACCTAATGAAACAATAATACCATACTCATCTACAAGTCTTGGAATGACATGTTCAAGCACATTAGGAATTTCAGGTGCAATCGTTATAATACTAACATTATCTAATGATCCATAACAATCTAATATATCGTCCATGCCGTTTGGAACTTGTCTTAAAAAATCTGTTCGATGAGCACCGTGTTTAGTAGGATCTATAAATGGACCTTCAACATGAACACCTAATAAAAACAAAAAATTCATACTTTATACAATAATGCATAAATAAAGAATTTTTGTATTGTCACTGTTAATGAATATTATCCATACCTAAAACTGTGGCTCCGTCTTTTGCTGAACCTTTTCGTCTTTGATATCTTGGCAATAATTTTTTATAAGTCTCAGGTAGTGAGGTAACTATTGTCGGACAAAATGCAGTTGTTCCATATGCTGGTAACTCTTTTGCTACTTCTAATAGAATATCTTTTTCTGCAGTACTTTCATCCGGAAATGAAAAATCATAACCAAATCCACCATTAATTTGTAAATCTATATAACCTGGTGAAATGATTGCTCCCTTACAATCAAAACAATAATCTGCTTTACGTTTCTCTTTAAAAAAAATATCTTGTGGATACATTATTTTTCCATTACGAATCCATAAATCATCGTTTATCAGCTGATTATTACGCACTAGCATACAATTTTTGAAACGACACAACATGTTTGTTGAAGTTCAACACAATAATAAAATATAAATATAAATCTATAAAAAAGACGGTATTATTTTTCAAAAAAGCTATCGTTTTCTGTAGAGCCGCTGCAAAACCAACTGAGTGACTCTTTTTCACCTTATGCATTTCGAGTTACTGTGAGAGACTACGTCACTTGTGCATCACGCACTTTTTCTGCAACAAGATTTCGACTCTCAGAATTTTTGCCCTTTGACCTTCGATTTTATCTTCTCTGTAAATAAGACTCAAAGCGCCCACAGAACAAACTACATTTTACTGTTACTAATTACTAAAAGTGGTAAAATCAATGAAGCTGTAAATCAGTAATCATCAACAGTTCAAGCTGATCATCAATTGATTCCGTCTGTTCTCCTTGTTTTCATTCTTCATTCTTGTCATCTGAAAGTTCTCTTCAAATGAAAAGTGAAATGCATAGTTCGTTAGGATAGAGGGCACCGGCTCTCGGCTGAGATAAGATGTGCTAAAAGTATAGAAATGTCAGAAAACTTAGAAGATATGTCTTAGTTTCGCTGTGTTGGAAAATACAGTATTGTCACCAACTAGTGGTTCAATATGTGTATTCGAATTGTTTTAAAAGATACATCAGGAATTGAGAAAGGTTTTTCTAACAAGTACTTCAGCACTAGACCGTTCATTACTAAATGATGTGAAAGATGGGCAGATTTAACTGTTATCGATAATGGTGTGTCTAGCGAAACGAGCAATTATCTAATCGACAAAAAATATTTTAACAGAATTCATGAGGAGAAAATCATGAATTGGTTAGCTGACTCGATACAATTATTATCGTTATTAACATCAGGTTTGGATTTAGATACACATAATAGTGTTCGTGTAATATATATACATTGTAATATAATATATATATATATATATATATATATACGTTTTCGTATATCATTAACATAGGTCATGATAATTGTTTATTATATGCTCGCTTAATTGCGTAACAACCGTATTTTACGAGATAAATTACAATCATATTTCATTACAAATGAAGTAATATTAAAAGTAATAATAAAAAGAAAGATGATTTGCAACATTCAAGCGTTCATTAGAAATACTGGTATTTCAGTATGAACCTGGCGAAAAAATTAGGAATGAAGTAAATTGAAACGAGATAGCATTCATCGCTTGGTAAATCACTATACTCTTGATTATCGATAGTAAAAAGTAGCTGACCCAGGTCGAAGAATCGTACTAAGATCGTATCTGAATCAGACAAAATCGTACCAAATCGTATGAAAATCATATATGAATCGTGGTATCTGATTTGTCCTCTGGATCGTATAATATGATCGTACAAG